TGTGATGCACCCTGCCAAAAAGCAAGTGTTTTCACTAGAGCCCTGCAAATCTGTAGATATCCAGGTTCTTTTTTTCAGATATGGATGTGGATACCATTTTTGTATCCATGCAGGGCTCTAGTTTTCACCTGCAATAGAACTGCAGCTATTCAGTGTAAATAAAACTCTTGTAACAATTGCCTTATGAAACTTAATCAGTAACACAGTCTTACTAAAACATTCAAATCACCTAACCCCCAAAAGAATAAACCTTTAACTACTTGCATATAATTCCCAAGGACCGGATTTTGACCTCCCTGCTGCACATAGCACCCTTCCCCACCCTCCCCACCTCAGTAAGTGGAAGACGCGCATACTCTGCCAAAGGGAGATTTTGATAGAATGTGTTATCAAAAATCCCATCTACATTAAACTGTTTACTATTTTACCTCTCCCTGATTATTACACAATCCAATGATGTGACACACCAGCATCAGCCTAGTACATCATTACTTCTTCCCTTCTTCTGGAGTTCCAGTTGCCTAATCATGCCTAGAACTTGATCAGAGCATTGCAACATAAAAGCTAGCATCAGATCTCACCTTCTTTCACTTCTTGGATAATTTCCTCAGGCAGGATGAAATTTTTCTCTGAATTAGGGAAGGGCAGAATCTCAGATTCATGCTTAAGAAAAAAAGTAAAATGTCTTTAGTGTGATTTTATTATAACTAACAGCTCAGATTTCCTAAACAAATGCCAAGTAATTTCATATACAGGTTGGATCTCCGTTCCAGCACCCTTGGGACCTGACTGGTCCCGGATGAGGGATTTTGCCAGACTAGGGGAGGTCATATTTGTCCCCCGTTATCAGGCCCCTTCTCCCCCAGCCCTGGACCAGCTGCCCTCCTTTCCCACCAGCCTTGTTGCACTGCTAGCCCTCCCCCTCCCTATTCCCTGCTAAGCCAGGCAGCCCAGCTCCCTGCACACCAGACTCCAGGACATGCCCGGGAAGCCCCACTGCAGCACACCAGATTCCTGGATGTGCCGGGGAGTCCCACTGAAGTGTGCCAGGCTCCTGGAAGCTTCTTGCAGCCACACTGCAGTGCGCCGGGCTCCTGGACACACCAGGCAGTCCCGCTGGGTTGTACCAAGCAGCCCAGCTGTGGGGATCCCAGCCACCAGCCTTCCACCGGGACTCTCTGGTCCTGGAACATCCATGGTCCAGAGAGTCCCGATTAACAGAGGTTCAACCTGTACAGGAAAAGGCCAAATAATTCGTAATAGGATATCTCAGTCTGTCATCAGAAGTCCCATAAGGGTTACCAGAGGACAAGATACAGAATATGAGGGTGACTGTCCACTTCTTGAAAATGCTTGAACTCTGTGTGTGTCAGTAGGACTATTTGCACATATAAAGTTAAGCATCCAAAGTATTTATTGGATCAGGGCCTACAGAGAAATTTTACATCAAAGCAAGTGCATAAGAGGGAAGAAATACGGGACTTGATTTTCCTCTCTCCTATACTAGTTTTACACAGGTGAAAGTCCACTGACCTCACAAAAGTCACCTAATTTACACCAATGTAAGAATTAGGCCCAACACATATGACATCAAAGCTGTTGACATCTACTGGAAATCAGAATTCCTTAATGCCAGTTTTCTATACTCACTAGTGCTTGCATGTCATACATGGTACTCAAATGGTCCCAAATCACTCTGGAGGAAATCTGTCGTCCAATATTCTGACTGAATTTGTCTCGGATACAAATCATGTGAAAGTGGCGATTAACACCTGAAGGAAGGAAGTTAGAGCCATCAGCGACATTTCCTGAGAGGCATGTGCATCACCTCACTGAGTAAGGGTGTGTCTAGACTACAGAGTTTTGTCGACAAAAGTGGACTTTTGTCGACAAAACTATACCTGCGTCTACACTACCGCTGAGTTCTGTCGACATAACGTCGACAGAACTCAGCAGTTTTGTCGACGCTGGTAAACCTCATTTTACGAGGCATAACGCCTTCTGTCGACAGAAGACGTTATTGAATGTAAACTGTCCTTGCGTCTACACTGCCATGTCGACAAAGCAGCTTGCTTTGTCGACAGAACTGAATGTAGTGTAGACGCTCTTTGTCGACAGAAGCTTTGTCGACAGTATCTGTCGACAAAACTCTGTAGTCTACTCTGTAGTCTAGACGTACCCTGAGTAAGTGACTGCACCAGATTCTGTGCAGATCTAATAATTAAAATCTTGGCTGGGACCACAGGGTCTTCTCCCATTTTTAGGGCACAGACACAGCTAAGCCAGAGGCAATGAATCCTGAAAGCTGCAACCAAGTAATTCTGAAAGGGGAGAGGGAGCAACAGAAAGTCAACAAGCCTGCTTCTGGATGTTTTCACTTGCACCTAACATGCCCCAAGAGATGTCCTGACAAGAGCAGAAGGGGAGAAGACCCCACGCCCTTTCCCCCCACACTTCCTTGCACTCCCTCCTAGCCAGGCAGAGCAAGGGAAAGAAAAGCCCAGCAGTGGGCCCCTGCCTCGCTACATTTCCCCAATATTCAAAATTCCTGCCCGACCCCTATTTTTGCAAATAAAAATCCCTACCAACATGCCCCAAGAGATGTCCTGACAAGAGCAGAAGGGGAGAAGACCCCACGCCCTTTCCCCCCACACTTCCTTGCACTCCCTCCTAGCCAGGCAGAGCAAGGGAAAGAAAAGCCCAGCAGTGGGCCCCTGCCTCGCTACATTTCCCCAATATTCAAAATTCCTGCCCGACCCCTATTTTTGCAAATAAAAATCCCTACCCGCGGGGGCAGGTCCGGCCAATAAGAAAACATAATGGAACCTCCCCCCCCCCCCCCGGAAACCCGCCCCGGGGGGGGGGGGGGGGAACCGCACAGAGGGGGGGA